CAGGCTAAAAGTAGGCGTGGTCAAGCCAAACTGCACACACCATGTAATACTTCCACCATGGTAATGGTCGTAATTATTACTTATTTCTTAACTCACGCTGCCAGTAAAAACGTTCACTCACTATACATATTAGTTATTGCGAAGAATATTACCGAAGCCTCAGTGGTCGAGTTAGTTAAGACACTCTTCCCGGATAGTCGAGAGGTCCCAGGTTCGAATCCTGGCTGAGGTAATGTTCGAATGTTTCGGCACACAGTCACATCTGAAATAATTAAAATTTAAAAATTAAGATCTCGTATTGCATTTATAACATCTAACTTGACCGTTTATTGGTGTTCTTTGTATTTATATGCTTAAGCATCTACTCGGTCGTAATTATTACTTATTTCTTAGAATAATATATATTAGTAAAATGGAACACAGTAATGTAGTGTATAAAATCAATTGTGGCTGCTGTGAGGCTTCATATGTGGAGCAGATGAATCAAAGAACATAAAGCGAGTATTACACAGACTGGGAGTACTCAGACAGTTGTTGCACAGCATCAAGTACATTCTGATCACACGTTTAATTGAGACGAAGTAGAAATTTTTGACACCAAGGCTTCTTATCACAAAAGACTCACGTCCGAAATGATATTTATCAAAAAACAGACTTGCGGTATAAATAAGCAGAAAGACGCAGAGAAATTACCAGAAACATATGTATCGTTAATTTGAACATGAAGCGCTTTGTCTTCCTAGAACTTTCGAGAACTAAGAAATAAATATATGTAAACGTTCTGACATTCAAGAAGATTAACAGAAAGAAATTAACTCTAAGCACACTCACATCGTCTAGATCCTGGATCATGTATTATTTTGTAACAACACAGGTATTTAATAATAATAATAATTGTCTTTATAATTTTATAAATTGATCTATTAATTACGAAAAAGATTTAAGATAATTTGAACAAATTGGAGTAAATTAATCGACAAGCATCCAACAGGATCTGAGAAATATAGCACACAAAAAAATTCAAGCATAATTGGTTCTAAACATTGACTACGTATTAAATTTATTAGAGCGTCAATATAAAATTGAATAATTGCGAAAAAGATTTAAGATAATTATGAGAAGTGAACTAATATGGATATAGAATAATTTAACAGAATCAGAGAACTTTGTGTTGGTTGTTTTTGAACAAATTGGAGTAAATTAATCGACAAGCATCCAACAGGATCTGAGAAATATAGCACACAAAAAAATTCAAACATTATTGGTTCTAAACATTGACTACGTATTACATTTATTAGAGCGTCAATATAAGATTGAATATTACTATAAAGATTTATTATGTTATTAGTGCGTTAATTTAAGATTAATGTTTTTGAATAAAGAAAAATTGTAGCCACCAATAACTGGTGTTTTGTGGTTTATGCCTCCATCACTTGTTGAATGTAATGTATTATAATAAATTGTGAAATAATTACCTGTGAAAAAGATTCTGAAATAGTCTCCCTCACTTTTTATATTTCCTGCAAAAATGTAAAATATATTATATA